ATGTATGTCTCGTAGTGTGCCATCACTATAAGGGATTAAATATATTAAGCTTTACACATTATATAGGCTACACTAATGTGACGTTTACATGGTTCGTTTAACTATTATACGTTTTTTTTTGGGGGGGGGGAATGAAAGTGTTCCAAAATACGATATTAATTTCTTGATGACCTAATATAAATGTAAGAATATTTTTATACATGTATTTGTGCGCATATAAAATAATTATTTATACTTTGAAATAAATTGGACAGTGAAGTACACACAGTTGAATGAAACAACAAAAAACACAATACTTTGAAATGCAATAGTTAAATAAGCCTAATGTGCTAGTTCACAGGTCTACAAGATCTGTAACTTATATGTCTAGCATGGTTTAATGTCGTGACTTAATCATTAAATATACAAGATGAAGTCAGCAACACTAGTGTTGATTGTTTTTTTGTTCAATGCATACAATCAAAACATAGCACAGTACTTACTACCTCTAGTAAATTACAGTCATTAAGATCCCCATGGACAATGATTGAGTGCACCACATCTTACCCACAATCAAACATATTAGTGATAACAGTTAAAAGGTTCTATTAAATATCAGCAGTGAATGAGGAGGGAAACATTTAGATTATAGTTCAATGTGCTTTTTTGAATATAATATTAGTGGCTTATATCAAATAACATTTTTACACAGAACCTAATTTCATAATATTAGTGTAAAAGGTTTTGCTTGGATTTTAAATGGTACATGTTGCAAAAAAGTAACTGAATACTCAGTCTAATTTGTCAATAATTTTAAGTTTCTAATCTTATAATATCAAGATCACATGATTTTCCAATTTCCAAATACTATTTTTAACTACATGTTCTGTTATTACTAACATTTGTAATGCAATGTCAGAACTCCATGCTTAGGTTTCACATCTAATTTTAACACTAACAGACGAGTTTCTAATTGCTTTAATACCACTTCTACTGGCCCAGGTATACTCTAGTGATTAGCATGAAGGTCCATGGTTTGAGCCACAATGAAATCCACTTAACACACTCTTCACACTCACCAATAAGTGCATTATAAATGTGACTGTCAATCCAATTCTTTAGTTAAAAGTCAGACAGAGCTTTGATCAGTGGGTCTAATTTAAGTATGGTTATACTTGAACCTTAGGAGTTTTTGACTTTGCCATTTGGCCATCGCATAAGATATCATTCAGCTTGAAAATATTAATATGACTACTATTTGCATTTATAACTTCATAGTGACAACTTTACTTGCACATTTAATTTATTAGTACCACATCTATTTAGATTTCTATTATGTAGAGCCAGTATTACCTGAATCTTCTAATCTCATAGTACCAATAACTCATACGTTTCTATTTTTAATACCATTCTTTTGAAATTTTCTTTTTTTACAAAACCACTGCTGCATGGGCATTTTTACATTTTTATTACAATTATAACTTGCTTTTTTAACCATGTACTGCCAGTCATACTTTAATATTCTAATATTATAGTGCCTGAGTTATATGATGTCTACTCGATTAATACCATAATTAATGGAATATTACTCTTAGGACACTTCTATTAATTGCATTTTAATCATGTATAGCCTAAATTTTTTAATATCATACTTACTGTTTGGGCTTATAATTATTAGGTTGCAATGTTTTATGGATTTCTAATGCTGTAGTACACTATTATGTATGTTTCTAATATTGTAGTATCACTATTATTTACATTCTTAATATCATAGTGTCAGTATTACTTTCATTTCTAGTCTTGTTGTAGGTGAATGTTAGGGTGTTCGACTTGTAATTTTTAGATCGCGTGTTCGAATCCTGTCACCGAACATGTTGACCTTTCAGCCATGGGGGCATTATAATGTGACGGTCAATCTCACTTTTCGTTAGTAAAGAGTAGCAAAAGCTGATGATAGGTGGTGTTGACTAGCTGCTTTCCCTCTAGTCTACTACTTCTAAGTTCGGGACAGCTAACACGGATAGCCCTCGAATATTTTTGCGTGAAATTCAACAAACAAACTTGTAGTACCAGCAAGTTAGAACTTTAGTTTCACAGTAACTATTTTACATAGATATCTTACTTTGTAGTACCTTTAGTCTCGCAGGAACTCCCTTACATAGATCTCTTATTTTGTAGTACCTTTAGTCTCACAGTAACTGTCTTAAATAGATCTCTTATTTTGTAGTACCTTTATTACATGGATTTCTAATCACCTTTCACCACTGCTATCTACATTTGTATTCTCTTGGTTCTATGCTCCAGTGGGAGTCTACAGGGATTATTATTATTTATACTTCTTAGTATCATTATTATTGTTTTTTCATTTTTTAGTTTGTTTGCTTGTTTATTGTTAAGCATACTCCACTTTTCAAGACCTGATTTTTAACCATTAGACTTACAGCTGATCCTCAGGTGGTAGGGGCTTAATTTCATAGAGCTAATATTACTTGAGTTTCAGATATAGCTAATTTTATTTTAGAATTTTAATGCAAAACTACACAAGGGCTAACTGTGCACAGTCATCCCCGATTTTGAACTGAAAGGCTAGAGTTAGATAACAGATGCCCATTGCCAACTTTTGAGATGCTTTTGTCCAAGTACCGAGTGAGATTTGATTGTCACTCTTTAAAGTGCGCTCATTGCCCCAAAGTAAGAAGCGCATTTTTGCGGCAACAGGACACGAACAAGGAACTCTCGGATTAACAACCTGGGTAAGCTAATCACTAAACCACATCTAGCCCTAGAAAACACCAAAAATATAATGACGTTTACAATGTAAAATTAATGTAACTATAAATAATTTATTGATATGATCATTTTTTAAAACTAAATTAATAATGGGTACAATTATGAATATATTTTGAACCAGAACTTACTCTTTCACACAACCATCTGTAATAGCTGTTAGAAAGAAAAGAAAACACAATTAATAATTAGCTCTGTTCAGAAAAAAAAAAAAGTGTTTTGAACTTTGCTAAAACACTTTCAAATAACTCTGCTATTAGAATTTTAACTACCTCTGTTATGATGGTTTTAATAACTAACTAATCATGCTAAAATAATATTTATTAATAGTAACATTTTAAAAGCTTCACCAAACAAATTCTGTTATGACAACTTTTGGTTTACTCTGCTATAAAAGTTTAAACTCATTCCTCTTATACTAGTTTTAACTCATTGCTATAACAGTGTTACTTCCCTCAGTTCATCATTATGCAAATAAGACATCTCATGATCAGTCATATGATCTGGAATGCAAATGATTGGTCGTTCAACTTGATCGTGATCTCATGCAATATTGTCTCAGTTGTCATTTTGAAGGGAATCACAAAACTTAAATTAGTTGATGAACCTTAATTAAGACTCAAAAAGAAAACATTTGGGTGTTTGACTGATGTGAATATCTTAAAGTGTTGCTAACAGTGTGGAACAGTTTCCAAATTAATGGATATAGTTACTTGATCACCTGTCGTACAGAAAAGTCACACTTCATTGTGTAGCTAGGTAAATGGCATATACTCATTTGTAGGAAATCTGAAACCAGCTCCAACCTCATTTTCATACAATGGTGTGGTGTACATGGTGGTGGTAGAAGTATGGTAAATGTACGTCCTCTTCATCCTGTGGGAGGGTACATTAATGCTATACATTACAGTGACCAAAACAGTAACATTTTATGCAGATATATGTGATGTTATTTGCCCTGTATTCAGCCTAATGAATGATAATGTCTTCTCACCAGATAGTAAAACAGTACCCAATGCTATCCGTAATTGCTAGATCTGTAATAGTTCCTCAAGCTTGCAGGAGAAGATGGCCATTAGATGTAATTGCCATGGTGACAAGACATCTAGATGTCTTGAAACTGACTAAAGTGGTCTCTCTATGGAGCTTCACGATGGCAATCAACCATTACTACAAAACCTCATTCCTATTTAGATCCCAATGGCCAGGAAACGGATTAAATTGTGTCACGATAGCCATTACTCCAAGGGATTGGCTATCTTTGATCGACTGAGACACCTTAGGTTGAAATGGGGGGGGGGGCTGTTGAAGCTGTTGGGAGCCACAGATAGTGCAGGGTTACAAGATAAAACGTGTGAAACCATAACACGTTGTCCAGCTAATCTTGACTGCAAGTATAACCTCTCCAGATACAAAATAGGATCAATACCTTTTGTGTCACGGGAATTTTAGCCATTTACGAGTAAAGAATCTGAAAGTAGACTGTCATGGTTTAATGGCAATAATGGAAAACAATTTAACCCCTGATTTTTAGGAATACTGTTAAGGATTGTTTCCATAAACATCTTTAATAACTACTTGGAATGATTGAACTTAGGTACAGGTAGTGTATTGCTTGATGCTTAGTTTAGGTAGCCTAATATTTGATGCTGCAAGGCATTTGGTAGAGGAGGAGGAGCTTTGTGATTGGGACACGGTCATAAACAAGTATGTCGACATCTCAGCCCTGTGAAGACCAAATTCATCAACAAAATTGAGTTCAAAGATCAAAAGCACAAAGTTCATGAAAATTTGACCATTTATGAGGATGATCTGTGATGCCAACATAGGAAGGTCTATCCTAATAAGGAAATGGCAGATCCTGATTGAAATGTTAATTTTGGAGCTGATTCCCAAATGAACCCTGGTGACATAAATGTATGTCTAAAACCATGAACCTTTCACAAAATCATTTTCCATGACAAAAAGGTTTAAAATGGTCACATCAAACAAGTTGCGAAAAAACAAAGTTGCACAGTTCTAGACAGCTCAGATAACCCTGAACTGGGCATAACTTGGAATCTACTAAAACGTGAGTTTGAGTTATAGGTCGACACTGGTCTGTTAGAGCTTTCTTGGGTCGCACAGTGTATTAGGTGGTTCGGTGACGCTGCTATTCTAGCCAGTCGTTATTGGCTTAATTGTGGCTAAGAGGGATAAGCTAAAAGTATGAGTAAAACTGTAACTCCGACTAGTTATAGATATATCTCTTGCAGTACGCAAACAGTTGTCTTGAATTTAGGATTAACCACTGGAATCTTAAGAATGATCACACTAGAGTATCAGTTTGCATGGTCTGAGAAACAGAGCTGCAGCTCTGTGGGAAACCATCTAGTGTTCAAGCCCAAAAACAATAGAATGTAGAATTACTAGTTGAAGTATAGTGCCATAAATGTTCTATGGTATTATACAGATTCAGTGTAATGTGCTGCCACCATTTGGATATGCTAATAATACCAAAGATACAAAAACTGTTTTCTTACTAGAAATCAAGCTACACTTGCTCAATGTTTATCTTTTTTGAGTGCTAGTGCTGGATAGTAATTATCGGTAGACTACCATTCAACTTTCAGCTGGAATGGTAGTATGTTTAACATTCTCGCTAGAGGACGTAATGAGAACTTATAAAAGAAGTGCTATTGATTAAGAGATTAGAACCAGGACTGAACGAGATGGGTTCAAGAATACAATTATTGCTAATAATGTGATAATTCTTCTGTACATGTATGCTTGCGCAATTCTAGGTTTTTCATTTACACACACGACCACAGCCTTGAGTCTAATAGGTCTGCATGAGTCTCCTTATTTCATTGTATTTTGTCCAAGCGTTCTTTAATGCTCACTGTATTATGTTTTCCGTTCATTAAATGCCTATACTGTAGCGTATATCATGGTAGTTGGCTATGACCGGACTTGTGTTTCTACTACTGTTTTTGGTACTCACCCCATATATATATATATATATATAACAAGCAGTAGAGTAGAAATAAGTAATTAATTGCTAATTTCAATCTTAGTTGTCAACTTGAAGTTATAACAGATAATGCCTGTGATCATAGCACTCAAATGCGTTGGGGATATTCCATTTATCATACAAAATCAAAATGCTAATAATAAACTAGTCAGCAGTCATGGAAGATGAATTACGGGAAAGGAGCCGAGTGCTTATACCCACAACGTCTCAACTCCTACTGCCTTAAATTTTCTGCAGCCAATTACCCTTAAAATGAAACCACCCTAAAATTTCTACAATGTAAAAAAATTTCCGACCTAACCGTCCTTTTATTTACAAATATATATATTTATATTAAACAGAACTAAACTATCTTAAACAGAACTAAAAACAAGTTCACAACTAAGACCAACAACAATTAATTACTGAATTCTACTGTAATGCTTGTTGGATATTAAGTTTATTATTGTTTTATAGTGCTGATTTAATCGCCTATTGACAACTGATGCAACTAATAGTATATGTGTACACATTATTATTTACCGAAGTTATCAAAATGAACTATGATCCATGGCACGTAAAATCCAGTGGAAAGGATCCATTTGAGATTACTTCGTCTGTGATTACTTACTTTTGTTTGGATTTTCCAGCTCATTGACAGCACTACAATAGCAAATATCGCAACTACACGTAGTGGTTCATAATTTCATAAAATTTTAAAGGGACAAAAAGGAGCTTATTAGCCCATCAAGGATGTCTTTTCCAGTTCCAAACTATAACCACCCCTTAATACTCATGTATTCATCCAATCTTTTCTTGAATTTTATGCCTCCACCACCCTTGAACGCAGCTCATTCCAAAAGCCAGCCACCCTGTTTGAAAAATAATACTGTCTAAACTGCAGACGACTTCTACGCTGCCAAAATTTGAATTTATGACCCCTTGTCCTATTGTTTTCACTGCTAAACACAAGATAGTTTGATGGATCTATAATACCCTTAATAATCTTAAACACCTCAATCAAATCCCCTCTGACCCTTCTCCTCTCCAGAGAAAACAAGTTTAGAGATTTTAGTCTCTACTCATAGGACAATCCCACCATCCCAGATATCATCCTAGTGGCTCTCCTCTGAACTTTCTCCAACAATTCAATGTCCTTATTGTAGAAGGGAGCTAAAAACTGTACACAGTACTCTAAATGAGTCTTCACAAGTGATATATATACAGTGAAACAATTATATCCCTTGTCTTGTATTCAATATTTCTATAGATGCTACCAAAAATTCTACTAGCCCTATTGCTAGCTACAATACACTGTTTAGATAAGTTAAGTGATTTGTCGATCACAGCACCAATGTCGTCTGCAAACTTCCAAATTTTGTTAGTCATTCCAAAGAAAATATCATTAATATAAATCACAAACAGCAGAAGATCCAGCACAGAGCCATGAGGCACACCACTTGTAACTGTGATCCAGTCATATCTAACTCCATTTATTACTACTCAAACATTCTACTCTCCAACCAATTTTCTATCCAATTTAATAACATTTACCCCCAAATCCATATTTTTAATTTTTGTAACAAGTCTTTTTTCCCATACATTAAATGCTCTGGTTGAGGCATAATACTTGTATCTTCCTTCGTAAAAACTGAAGTGAACATATAGTTTAATAAGTTTACCATTTCATAATATTTCGAGATCAGCTCCCACTATCATTTTTAGAGACCCAATCTCCATCCTAACATTCTGCTTTCCCACTATATACCTAAAGAATTCCTTATTGTTTGATTTAACTCTCTCGACCAACCCTCTTTCATATACAGTTTTTGCCCTTTTAATTTCCTTTTTAACCAGCTCTCTTGATTTCCTATTGTCCTCCAAGTCCATATTATTTCCAGTAAGTTTAAATTTCTTGAATTTATTATGTTTATCCCTAATATGATCTCTTAAACCTTTAGTAAACCATACTGGCATATTCCGCTCCGTTACCCTTTTTTTCCGTAGAGAATATGTATGCTCTGTATGCATATCAATTTTTCCCTAAATGCTTCCCACATCTGTTCTAGTTCCTTTCCCAACTCTTTAGTCCAATCTACAGAAGCCAGATCATGTTTCATTCCATCAAAATTAGCTTTCCTGAAATTTGGAATCAGGGTGCTAT